TCCTGACCAACCCCAGAGACTGTGATTTAGTAAGTCTGGAGTGAGGCTCAGAAAGCAACTTTAAAAAATAAATAAATCTATATTTGCAAAAAACAAGTTACCTAGCGGATTCTAATGCAGGTACCTTCGCTCAAAGGACACCGCTGGCTACCACGCCCCTTTTTCTGTTGGAAGGAGCCGCAACCTCTAGGTCTCGCGATAGTTTTTTCTTTCTTCAGACTCTACTACAGATCTCGCGAGGTGTTGATTGTCCAATCACGAGGCTGGATGGTTGCCCAAGATGGCGGCGCGCTGGGATCGTAACACCTGCGTTTCTAGGAGCTTCACGCTGCAAATGGCTTGAGACTGGGGTTAGAGGCCCACTCCAGACTGGTGGTCTGGCTGGAATTTTGCTCTCAGAGGTAAGTCGCTTATTGTCTTTCACGATGGTTGGGAGTTCACTTAGCCCATGTGTCACCCAGGTTCCTCGTTCTCAGGCTCTGGGCCCACGAGGTGCTGACTTCGGGGTCTAGGGAGACAGACCCGATAGGGGGTGGAGGCAGGTGAGGAGCTGACTAATTGAATGGAGACTAGGGATTAAAGTAGGGAAGACCCCCGGGGCTGAGGAGGTTTAGAAAGATCCGAAACTGAGACGGGAAGACAAACTGAATGGATAAGATGAGAGTGTGGAAGGAGTGCAAGAGCTGGAGAACTGGCAGTAGTGAGACTATAAGAAAAAGTATTTATGAGGGAAGGCAACCAGGAAAAAGGGAGATTGGTGTTGAGGTGGGAGGGATCTGTTAAGATGGGATTTGAGATTCTGAAAGCGAAATTTAGACTGTGTTAAGGTGAGTGATAGTTGAAGAAGACTATGTAAGGATCAAGAGAAACCAAGGAAACAGTAGCTTCAGGGTTCTACTACTTCGGCTTTTTGGACAGACTCGGACACCCGGAAGAAAAAGACCCAACCCTAGGACTAAACCCCTCTGAGAGTCAAGATGGGGAAACGTTTACCGAGAATGAGGGTGCTGTCTTTCAGTGGCCGGGACAGTGAAAAGAGTTACACATCAGTGTTTTCAGCCAACAAATAATGAGTGCCCACTCTCTCAGGCCCTAATTTTGGTGCTGGGATATTGCAGTGAATGAGCTAGACAAAAGATTTTCCCTCGTGAAGCTTAGTGGCAGGGCAGGTTTTATTTTATTTTATTTTTCAGAGAGAGTCTAAGGGGGGGAGAGAGAGAGAGAGAGAAACATTGATGTGAGAGAGACACATTCATTGGTTGCCTCCCCCACGCGCCTGGACAGAGGCTGAGGATTGAGACTGCAACCCAGGTATGTGTCCTTGGCTGGAATCAAACCCAGGATCCTTCAGTCCAAGGGCTGACGCTCTAATCACTGAGCCAAACCAGCTAGGGTGGCAGAGCCAATTTAAAAAAATAAGTGAAATATATGGAATGTCAAATAGGTAAATTCTATGTAGAAGATAGAAGCTAGTAAGGGAGACCAGGAGTGTGTTCGCTTCCTGCAATTTTGAGTAAAGGTCCTCAGCAGGAAAGGCATCAGTGAGGTGATATTTGATTCAAAGACCTGAACAAGCCCAGAGTATCTTGCACATATGTGTTTCTGGGGGAAGACAAGTCCATGCAGACCAACCAGCAAATGCAGAAGTCCTGAGGCAGGAGTATACCAGAATCTATAGACAACAAGGAGGACAGTGTAGCTAGAGCAGAATGTGTCAGGAAGAGGAAGTAGATTAGGTTAGAAGGAAGTGATAATGCTGATACCAGGTAAGAAGTGACACTGAACTAAATTGAGAAATGTGATAGATTTAGCTAAGGACCCACTGCCTGTATGAGGAGCTTGGTTAGCAAAGAAGTGGCTTTATTGACTCATTCTGTATGTGTTCTGACCAAAAAGATTGAGTAATGTAGGAATGAATTGAAAGCTGTATGTGAATGAAAAAGGGCCTATGTAATAAACCTGACAAGCTCCTGGGGGCCACATGGCAGGCCCAGTCACCAAAAAATAACCACACAAGATGGTCTGATCATAAATTCCAACTGGGCAGGTCATAGTGGGTAGTTACGTTGCGGGCCTGTAGCTCTCTTAGCAAAAGTCAGTCTTTATCTTAAGTGAGCCCTGTGCATTGTTCTTATGCATTTAGGATAACGTACCTTTAAAATGTCAGAGTAAATGAAAGAAGAAAAATGAGAAGAGCAATATGTCTAGAGCATAGTGCTGGAAGAGGGAAGTAGCAACTAATGAGGCTGGAGGGATAGGCAAGGCCTAGATTGTATATGCCTTGTTAATAATTTTGGACTTTATCAACCTAATAGCTTTAGGAAGCCACTGAAGGGATTTAGCAAAGAATATTCAGATTTGTGTGGGATGGGGGAGGGAAGACTTGTCTGCTGCATGAAAAGTGGATTGCAGGGGCTAGAGTGGTTATAGAGAGATCAGTTAGAGACTATTATCATAATCTGAGAAAGAGATGATAATCACCTGGTTTAGAGATGTGGCGTTGTGAAGGGTGGGGAATAGATAGGGTCAAGAAATAATGAGGAGAATATTCAGGACATGGTGCGTTTGGAATGGGGGAGGTGGAATGGAGAAGATGCTAAAGATTTCCAGGTTGTGCACCACAAGAAAGTGGTGTCATTCAGTGAAATAGGGAAGATTAGATGAGGACCATCTCGGGGTGGGTAGAAATTATTTGATTTTAGACATGTGCATGAAATACTTTTCAGCCATTCAAGGGAGAAGTCTAGTGGGTAGTTGGATATATGATATGGAAAGGTCTGGGTGAAGACAATTCTTTTTTGAAAATGGTTGTTAAATTTCCAATGTACAAAGCTGTCAAAAAACCTTCTGAAATAGTGTGTTAACAGATTTACTACTATGTAAAATTACAGATATGACTTAACCAGGGAGATTAGGGAAGGAAAGACCTTTCTGAAGAAGAGATGCTTGAAGTGTGATAGTAAGGATGAGTAGGAATTCATCAGGTGAATGGGGGGGAAGGGTAGAGGACATTGTAGAACAGCGATTTTTCAACCTGTGTGCCACAAGAGTTTTTAAAACATGCAATACCTGACTATTTAGTCAGGTAAAAAAATGACAATAGCCAACACAGTAATAGCTGTCTGGTGTGAATTAATCAAATTTACACCTTTTTTTTGGTCAGATCAACAGAAAATATAATAGATTTTTTTGGTGTACCACAGAATTTTAGCAATTAGTTTATGTGTGCCATGAGATGAAAAGAGTTGAAAATCACTTATAGACAAAAGGAGTAGCCTGTGTAAAGACCCTGTTGTCAGAGTGGAGGGACAGAAAAATGAGCTTGGGAGTGGAGGGGGTGTGACTTAAGCTGATAATAACAGAAATGGGCTAGCCCACGCCAGGCTCGACCTTATTTGTATGCTGAAGTAAGGTTTTTTGTTTTTATCCTAAGAGTAAGATTTTGAGCAAGTGGGCATACGAGGAGGATGTGATGAGATTTGTGTTTAGAAATTATCACTGTAAGGTGGAAAAAGGAATGGAGAGAATAAAAGAGGATTCAGGGAGACCAATTAAGAGACTGTTATAGCAGTCTAGGTAACTTGTATTGGGCTTATATTGGTGGAGATAGGGAAAAATTGATGGATTTGGGAGGTATTTAGTAGATTAAATCCAGGTGACTGTTGATTTCTTGGGATATGAGAGGGCTAGAGAGCTATCTGGTGATTCCTAGGTTTCTGGCTTACATAGTACTGTTTAGATAAATGCTCATTATAAAAAAGAATGGGAAATGCAGAGTGGTATAAAGAAAATAAAAGTCACCTACTACCCAGAGTATGTAGTATTCTAAAATATTTTTAAATTACCAACTACAGACTTTTACTAAATCACTATCAATGGCTTTTCTTCTAGTTTTCATTTTTTGCAATAAATGCATTAACTTTTTTCCTCTTTGTAATCTGGTGGAAGACAAATTATGTTTGTTTTCATTTAGTTTTAAGCTACCTAGGAGTGACAAGACTGACATTTTCAAAGGAAATTGGAATAGAAGATATTTTTTGAGACTTAAGTGATTTTTGGTACACTAGAAAATATTCAGTCCATGCAAGGCTATTGTGAAAACTAACCTCTGATTATAATATTCTTGGCTGTAGTTTATAGGACTTTCTGCTACTTTGATGCTTTAAAGGAATAGTTTCCAATTTTCTTTCCTTGGTTTAAAAAAAAAAAAAGATTCATCATATGCTGTATACATTATTGTGGCAAAATATATATAACATAAAATTTACCATTTTAACCATTTTTAAATGTTCCGTGTGCCATTCAGTAACGTTAAGTATATTCACAATGTTGTGCAACAGTCGCCACTATTCATTTCTAGAAGTTTTTAATCCTAAACAGAAACCATGTGTCCATTAAAGAATCACTCATCAGTCCTCCCTCCTCCCAACCCCTAGTCACCTCTATTCTGCTCTATCTGTATGAATTTGCCTAGTCTTGGCACTTCATGTAAGTGGTATAATGCGATATTTAATATAATATAATACTCCTTTTGGGTGTGGCTTATTTCCCTTAGCATAATGTTTTTAAGGTTTGCCCATGTTGTAGCACGGATCAGAATTGCATTCCTTTTTATGGTTGAATGTTCCATTGTATGTATATACCACATTCTGTTTATTCATGTGTATGGACGGTTGGGGTTGTTTCCATCTTTTGGCTGTTGTGAATAATGATGCTGGGAACATTGGTAGGCAAATACAAGTTTGAGTCCCTGCTTTCAGTTCTTTGGCATATACTTTGGAGTGGAAATGCTGGATCATATGGTGATTCTGTGTTTTAACTTTTTAAAACCACCAACAGTTTTCCAAAGTATGTACCATTTTATGTTCCCACCTGCAATACATGAGGGCTCTCATTTCTTCACATTCTTTCCAAAATTTATTATTTTCTTCTAAAAAATTTTAAATAATAGCCATCCTAATGGGTAGAAGTGGTATCATATTGTGGTTTCGATTTGCATTTTTCTAATGACAGATGATGTTGAGCATCTTTTCATATTCTTTTTGTTTTGCACATTTAAAAAATATAACTTCTACTTTCTCACTTGATTGGTAAGGATGTGTTGGCTGTAACTAGTGTCTTGGCAACCACAGTTTTTCCCCATTAATATTTTTTAAACTAAATGTGCTCACTTTTCCCCTTTTCTTTTTCTTTTTAAAGATGGCTCTGAGTAAATCAATGCATGCAAGAAATAGATACAAGGACAAACCTCCTGACTTTGCATATCTGGCATCCAAATATCCAGATTTTAAGCAACATGTTCATATAAATCTGAATGGAAGAGTGAGGTAGGTAACAGATGAAGAATTCTTGATATGTATTATTGTAGTGTAATCGGAATGGTACAGAGTAGTGGAAAGTGTACTGGACTGATAGTAGACCTGAATACTAATCCTAGGACAAATCACTTACCCTCTTTGGGTTTTAACTTTTTAATCTATAAAATAAGAGGATTGGACAAATGTTTTTAAATTTCCTCTGGCTTTAAGAAAAATCCCTCTCAATGTCCAAGTTATTGCTTACCCAGAAGAGACCCCAGAGTACTGCAGAGGCCTTAGAATTGTGCTCTAAAACTTGGTGGCTGGTGCCCTGGTCAGTATAGGTCAGTTGGTTGGGCATCCTCCGTGCATCGAAAGGTTGCTGACTGGATTCCCAGTCAGGGCACAAGCCCTGGTTTCCAGCTTGATCCCCAGTAGGAGGCATGCAGGAGGTAGCTGATCAGTGGCAGTCTCACATCGATGCTTCTCTGTCTCCCTCTTCCTTCCTCTCTCTCTCTAAAAATCAATTTGAAAAAAAATTATTTAAAAAAAAAATCAAACTTGGTGGCTGCTGATGGTCTAAAGTTCTTTTTTAAAGTGTATGTTATTTTGAGGTAGGAAAATAATAACCATGACATCAAAACTGTGATTTCACAGATATTGTTACTTAGGATGTCACTGTATTTAAGTAAAAAAGCTGATTTTTTAAAATTAAGAAAATAATAGTACGAGTGCTTCAGGAAATGGCCAAGATTATGATAATGGTATGGGAGATTATGATAATGGATGTGCATAACAGAACCTTGAGAAGGAAATATTTGACTGCATTCCTAAACTCTGGGAGTTAAGAGGGGATGGAAATTCCATGCCTGCCTGGGGAAAGGTGTGCTGATTTAACTGTGGGGAGGAGGGAAGGGAAGGAATAATAGGATCATTGGGCTGACCTCTTTCTCCTGGCAGTCTTCTTATGACTTTAGAAATAGAGGTCCTAGGGCAGGCCTTAACCTGAGGACCAAGATACCTTAGAAATCATATAAAAGTATTTAAAAAATATATTTATGTTCATTTTTCTGGGAAGTAATCCTTAGTTTTCATTGGATTCTCAAAGTGATCTGTGATATCACTCCCCATCCCAGTATGCAAAAGCTGAGATCAAATGCTCCAGAACCATGGTTTCCAAGCTTTTTTGTCTATTTCATTCAATAAAAAGTTGAGCACAGCCCCAGTTATGAATTCTGTACTACTTAATATTTATTAATCATTCTGTGCTGAGTTCTAGGAAAGTCATAATAAAGACATGTGGATATGTGTTACATGCCATTGAGTTGGCTATGATTCCTGGCGACCCTATGAATGGGTGATGTCTACAATGTCCTGTCCTCAACAGCCCTGCTCAGCTCCAGACTCATTCCTGTGGCTTCTTGTATGGAGTCAATCAATCTCATATTTGGTCTCTTTTCCTGCTGCCTTCTATTTTTCCCAGCAATATCGTCTTTTCCGAAGAACCCTGCTTCTCACAGTGTGCCCAAAGTAGGACAGCTTCAGTTTTGTTGTTTTTGCCTCCAGCGATGTTTCAGGCTTAATTTGCTGTAGGACCCACTTGTTCATTTTTCTGGTAGTCCAGGGTCCTTAGAGCTCCCCTCCAATACCACATTTCAAATGAATCCATCTTTTCCTATCAGCTTTCTTCACTGTCCAACTTTCATATCCATACATAGTAATTGGGAACACGACGGTGTGGATGATCTTCGCCTTGGTCTCTAATGACTCATCTTTGCTCTTGGGGATCTCCCCTAATTCTTCCATTGCTGCCCTTTGAGTCTCAGCCCTCTCTTGATTTCTTGGCTGCAGTCTCCATTTGAATTGATGACTGAACCAATATAAGCAAAACCTTTAACAATTTCAGTATCTTCTGTCAATGTTAAAGTTGTGTATCTGCGGTTACGATTTTTGTCTTGATCAAATATAGTCCTGCTTTGGCACTTTTTTCTTTCACTTTAATTAGAAGTCGTTTCAAATCATTGCTACTTTCTACCAGTAAGATGGTGTCATCTGCATATCTTAAGTTATTGATAGTTTTTCCACCAATTTCCACTACTGCCCTGAGTCTGGCTGAGTTTTTCACATATGTTTTTCCTGCAGTTCAGAATAGGAAAAGAATGACAAAGAAGAAGAAGAGGAAGGCATAGTTGCTGCTGTATTTGGAGTTCACACACTAGTGAGGATAGTGGACAGATAAACAGGCCTTGTTTGCCTGAGTTTCTCAGAATCTGTGGGGTGTGAATGGCATCACACAGAAAGGGGATCTGACCCTGACTTTGGATTTAGAAAATCATTTGAAACAGACGTGGTGTCTTGGTTGAGTTCTGAAGAATGAGTAGGAGTTAGCCCAGCAGAAAGAAGAGTGACACAAGTGGGGGAGCAGCGTGTGCAGAGAGCACCAACAGTAGGGGAACTGCAAAGTTGGACATGCCTAGGACAACTGACAGAAGATGGGGCTGGGGAGGCTTATGCTTGCAGTACTTTATAAGGCCCGGGGAGGAGTTTGGAGTTTATCTTAAGGACATGGTGTGGAGAGGTCTGTGTCTTCACAGTTACCATCCCTATCCTTATCCACTAAAGTTTTAAAGTAGGGGAATAACATGTTCAGAATTGTGTTTCGACAGATGTGTTCTAGGAACAGGATTGTGGAGGGTGGATTGCAGGGGGAATTAAGACTGGAGATACAGGGAAGTAAGTAGAAAATGGTTTTAATAATCCAGATTAGATACATTGGTGGCCTAATTAGATAGGGGCAGTAGGGATACAGATTACTGGATGAATTAGAGAGAAATTCATAGATAGAATTAGCAGGACATGTTGGAAATTAAGAAGTAGGAACCAAGTATGGTGCTTAGGATTTTAAATTAGCAAGAAGATAGGTGATAGTACCATTTAATGAAGTAGGGACCAAGGGGAAATGAGCTGGTTTTGGGGAGATGATGTTTTCAGTTTCTGGCATATAGAATATGAGAAGTCTGTGGGATATTCAAGTGGAGTATTTCATAGGCAATTGAAACAGAAGTCTGAAGAGGGTACAGCAGTGATGTAGGGATGTTATTTGTGAAGGCCCTGGGCCTTTGAACTGAATACTGGAGGGTAAGTAGAAGCAGGGGGAGGAATTCCAACTGTAGAGAACAGAATTTTGTGAAATGCATGGTAAGTTTGGAGAACTGCATGTAGATGGAGCTAAAGTTGATACAGGATAGCAGATTGGGGAATAAAAGAAGATGAGACTGAAAGGAAAACAGAAAAATGACAGAGAGCCCTTCATAGCATACAGATAGAATGGATTTGATTGCTTAGACATTGAGGAACCAGAGGAGGATTTTTAAGATGGTTAGAATTTTTAAGATGATTTAAGATTTATATAGTGGTACCTCGGTTTTCAAACATCTCCGTTGATGAACATTTCGGTTTACCAACACCGTAAACCTGGAAGTAAATGCTTTGGTTTTTTAACATGCCTTGGAAGTCGAACATGCCACACGGTGTCCACTGAGTGCAAGATCCTGAGGCCTAGCTGTTGGTTGTTGATCCCTTGGTTCTCAAACGTTTCAGAACTCGAACGGTCTTCCGGAACGAATTACATTAGAAAACCAAGGTACCACTGTATATATTTTTAAAATCACTCAGATCAGACCAAACAGATCTGTTATCACAACATTTCTGAATAGACATTCAATAAATATTTGTTAAATCATGAGAATAATTTCTCTGTAAAATCTGTTTGTTGCCCGGCCGTGTGTGGCTCAGCAGTTGAGCATGGACCTAGGATCCAGGAGGTCCCAGTTTGATTCCCAGTCAGGGCACATGCCTGGGTTGCAGGCTCGGTCCCCAGTCGGGGGCATGCAGGAGGCAGCCAGTCAATGACAACTCTCTCATCATTGATGTTTCAACTCTCTCTCCCTCTCCCTTCCTCTCTCTGAAATCAATAAAGATATATATATTTTTTAAAATCTGTTTGCCGTTCATATATGGCATACCTAAAACAAAATTACAGATAAATAAAAAAGGGTTAGGCAAAAATATACTAGACAAATGAGAGTTTCCTCCAAATCTGAAAATACAAGGCAAAAACACATAAAATTGGAAAAGATGCTTGTTTATATTGATCAGTGAAGATTTAAAAGTGAAGACTTTTAGCATTTTGAAAAATATAACAGAAATATCTTTTTAAAGTGTTTGACGTATGCCCAGCTGGCGTGGCTCAGCGATTGAGCATCAACTTAGGATCCAGGAGATCAAGGTTCAGTTCCCGGTCAGGGCACATGTCTGGGTTGCAGTTTCAGTCCCCAGTAGGGGTGTGCAGGAGGCAGCTGATCAATGACTCATCATTGATGTTTCTATCTCTCTCGCTTCCTCTGCCTTCCTCTCTCTGAAATCAATAAAGACATATTAAAAAAAAGAGAAGAGCCTGGCCAGGTGTGGCTCAGCAGTTAAGCATCGACCTAGGATCCAGGCAATTGGGGTTCGATTCCTTGTCAGGGCACATGCCCGGGTTGCGGGCTCCATCCCCAGTCGGAGGCGTGCAGGAGGCAGCCGATCAATGACTCTCTCATCATTGATGTTTCTATCTCTCTCTCTCCCTCTCCTTTCCTATCTCTGAAATCAATAAAGATATATTTAAAAAAAGAAAAAAAGACAGTGCTTTTTCTTAAAAAAAATGGGGGGGGGTTGACATAATTTGGAGACATTTTTCTTTGTATTTCTAACCAAATAGAAATACTTGGTTAGAAATAGTGCTAACTGTTATCCAAACAGTATCTTGGTTAATACCAAGACAGTACTTTGGTTAATAACAAATAGTATTTGGTTAATACTGTAACCAAAATAAACAGAGAGCAGTAGCCTTTAGGGACTTCCAGAGAATCCATGAATGCTTCAGAGACAATTAGATAAAAATACTTGTATATGGTTTTTTTCTTAAGGATATGGGGTTCAAAGCTTTAACCTATAATTTAGAACTTCACTTTTAAAAGAATTATTGA